CAGGATACACGCCTGGATTCCCATCTTTGACACACCTGGATTCACACTTTGACACACCTGGATCCACACCAGGATACACGCCTGGATTCCCATCTTTGACACACCTGGATTCACACTTTGACACACCTGGATTCACACCAGGATACACGCCTGGATTCCCATCTTTGACACACCTGGATTCACAGCTGTACGCACACCTATATACACTTGGATTTACATCAAGACACACTCTAATATACACCTGGATTCACACTTTGACACACCTAGATTCAAACCAGGATACACGCCTGGATTCACACTGAAACACCTGCTTTCACACCTGAACACAACCCATATACACCTGGATTCACACCGGGTTACATGCCGGGATTCTCGTTTTTGACACACCTGGATTCACACCTGAACACACCCCATATACACCTGGATTCACACCAGGATACACACCTGGATTCACACTGAAAAACCTGCTTTCACACCTGAAAACACCCCATATACAGCTGGATTCACACCAGGATACATGCCAGGATTCCCGTCTTTGACACACCTGGATTCACACCTGTACGCACACCTATACACACACTTGATTTTACATCAAGACATACTCTATTATACAGCTGGATTCACACTTTGACACACCTAGATTTACACTTTGACACACCTGGATTCACAACTACATACACCACAATATACACTTTGATTCACACCTGTTTGTAAACCAGCATTCACACCTTAAAACACACCTGGACAAACAGCAGAAGCTCCCATCGGTGTCTGATGCTGTTTCCTGTTCATGTTTCAGTTAGTGTGCTATATTCAACAGTTTATTTCTAATTCTGCTTCTTTTAGTGCTGGTTTCTGATACGAGTCGAGACACGAGTCCAGCTGAACACGGCAGTTCGACCGTCATCTTTGATAAGAAGACCAAGAGACGCTTCTTGGATTTAGGGTGAATACACTGCATTCTCTGTCTCTTTAACAATCTTAATTTAAAAGGTACATTCTGGTCCAACCATCCACGGCTCGGACAGTAATGGTGTTCTTTGTGTTTAAGGGTGACGCTTAGACGTTCCTACATCAGAGTGAGAAAAGATAAATCCAACAGACTCTCTGTGGGAAGCAGGTTTGTCAATCATCAATGCAACATTCGGTTTGTTCCAGAATAACCAGTCCTACTGAACTTGTCTCATGTTGTGATGTTGTCTTCAGAGAGCCATCTGAGAGTCCATCCCGCTCCTCTGGATCCTTTGTCTCTTTTTCCTGGTTCACTGAAGGTCGGGGTTCCTTCTCCTCCTCTGGAACTCCTCCATGTTCCCCCAAAATCCCCCCGCTGGGCTCCCAGAGACCCAGGAAGTCCCACTCACAGGTTAGTTATTAAGGCCTGAGACTTAGCAGATGATCCTGAATGAAACAGACTTCAGGTAAAACTTATTGAACAGAAAGATCTTGACCGGCATCACCAGGAGCAGAACCATCAAAACTAAAACAAGTCATTAGCTTAAACCTTTAATATGCAGCATCTGAGTGAGAGTAAAAAAAGAACAGTAGTTAATTTTTAGGGGGAGTTTTTTACGTTTACGTGGAGTACTTGAATGCATCGTTTGTTCCATCCCTCAGCTGAGCACCAGCTGATAGCTTGATGACATTACCTCCAATCTGTAAGGACACTAAAGCCTCAGTGCAAGCGCTTCAGCGGTCGCCATAATAAGTGCTGTCCGAATAGTGCTGGCAGTTAGGAAGGAGCTTGGAGCAGGAAATTCTGCTTCCTGGCATCAAATCATTTAGCATATGGAGCTTTTGATGCCTTCTGGACACTCTATAACAGAGAGCTTGATCTGCTCGCTGCATTTGTGTAACTTTTGTTTTTTGTAGTTCTTTTCTGAAAAGCGGTAGTCCCATTTAGGCCCGATGGTTGTCCCTTGTGCTTGTCTGCAGGCTGTCTGTATTCAGCACAGCTGCACAGAATTCCTTTCCCACCCTGGATAGAGTTCTTACTGCTGAACCAGCGAAAGCTGGAGGCATTAGAGCAGGAGTTACAATTTTAGCTCCCAGATCAGCTTCTCTGATTGGTTGATGTGGCGCATCGAGCAGCAAAAATTCGATTGACTCCTTTAATTAGGGTGGAAGCGCCTGGTTTGCACGTCTCATCTGTCGTGGCACAATCTTTGTAGATCAACTGCAACATGTTCAGTTTTTTTAGGCCATGCTATTTGTTGCTCTCTCTGTGGAATCTATAAAGATCGGCCCAAAGTTGGGTTTAATATTTGTTTTTTAAACCAAAGAGAAAATCCACCAATAACCACAGAGAAGAAGAAATGGCCGCAGCTGCTCTGTTTAGGGTCAAGCTGCTGGGATTCAGCTGGACCCTTGGTCCTGCAGGTTGGAGGCTCTCCTGCGGAAGCAGCAGAGCATGTGAACAGAGCGCCGCGCAATTCCTGCATTCAGGAGGATGTTCGCTCATTCGCTCCGCCGCTCAACGTTGCTCCACGACGCTCCACTCTAAATCCGCTCCGCGTTCACCTTCATTTTCCTGCCGCTCCGGCGAAATCGCTCCACGCTCGCTCACATTTTCAGGAGAAGATATTTTCTGAAAATTTTCCTTCCCGTAATGATGCCAGGGCCCTGGAACACATGGCTTTTGATTTTAAGATGTGACCGATACATGTGGATCGTCTTATTTAACTAGCTGTTAAATTATCGCACTGTTTTCCAGCTGTGAACGTAACTCCTCGCTTCATTCATGTTGCCCTGCGTTTCCCGTTTAATTACTAATTTATTTTACTATTTATTTTTTTATTTACCGGGTATGTGTTTATTTGAACAGGGACAGTGCACATTAATAAACATTTCTGTAAATGAGCCAGTGTTAGCTAAGTAGCTAATTTTCAACTGTAGTCCCTGGGCAAGGTTTAAAATGCCAACATAATAAAAACAACAACATTAAAAATTAGTGCAAACAATAAAATACATAGTTAGTAATCTACATAAAAGTTGGACATTGATCTGTAAAAAAACAAAGACGTTATTATAAATATAAGATTTAAAAAACATTGGGCTACATTAAAAAAGGTCACTT